TTTGTGTATATTACACCTGTAAAATGTTGTCCCGTAACGAGGTATTTCATACTAAACAATTGAATATAAAAGATAACATTTGTAAATGACTTTTTAACTGACCTGATTTATAAGAAGATCCACTGGAAAACTATCTTTTAGTAACTGTTGTCTATTTTCAACCTGTGGATCTGATAATAGATGAATGCTACGAGTTCCTCTTCTAGATTTTCCATGATATGTAGGTGTATCAGATTCAGGATCTTGTTCATGATATGACCATATTAGTCTTGCTGTACCATCCTGCAAAAAAGGAGATGTAATATTGCAGTTTTGTAGAAAATAGAGAAACTAGATCTGTTTTTGAATTGCATAGAAAATAGGTAATATCTAGAACCGTAATATCTCAGTCTTTTTGGTCACAATTTGTCCTAGATCTTGAAAATTTCAAAACAGTATGTTCAGCCGTCTCCTTTCCCAAGAGTAATGTCCAATCTTGACTTTCGTCAACTGCTGGAACAGAATAATCTTCTGAAAATCTATCCTAATGGGCGAGATAATTTATTAATGGGAAAAAACTCAAAAAGATGCTGGTAATAGGTTACAGTAAAGAAAGAGTTTCCATCCTTTATCCATCCTATAACAATGTCAGATCCTATCATTTTTCCTTCGGATGAAAGTCCAAAACCAACCCATCCTTTTGTTTTCACCTGAACTTCAAAGGTAATATGGGAAGTGTTGTATTTCCAATATAATTTGTACACATCAGGTTCACTTATTATCAAAGAATGAGTAAATTCCTCTGACGCAGCAGGAAATGCTGCTCCGAAATGCAATAAACTGCAAACTATTATATATTTAAAAAGCATTTTTTAAAAACATAAAGTCTACACTATCCTTCTTGTGGACGACAAAATACGTATCAGGCAATTTAAACAGCCCATTTATAGGACAGTCGCAAATATCAATTCATTCATAGTTCAGGCCGTAAAGAAAGATATTTTTTAACAAAAGAGAGGTGTTTGTATAGCCTAAACCAAGACCAATATAACTTTTCAATAAATCATATGATATCCATTTTCTGTGACATAAAATCTCGTCTTTGGAATTTCCTTGTCAACAAAATTTACATTTCTCTGGCAATTTATAAAAAGAGAAATATAAAAATGTTTTTGTGTATGGAAAAAATAGGCAACTTCAATGATTTTCAGGATGATACGATAAGAGCAATTGTGTTGAAACAACAATTAACTTGAATTTATTCAAATAGATAATAAATCAACTATTTTAAAACTTTTCATTCATTATCATATTAAATTTTTTGGCTGTGGAATAGATGAGTAATAGAGTTTTTTTTTGTGGGGTAGATGAGCAAAAGGAGAAAAACATTTAATGGCTGGACAAACAATTTTTTCTATGATGAAACATTTCTTTGTAATGGCCTGTAAAATGATAGAAATCAACACTAACTAATAAGTTATAAATGTAGAAAAATGAATGACAGATGACACTATAATGCAATTTATGCATTTTGTACAACTTTGGTTATATTTTACATGCTTGAACTCTATTATTTTATGCAACATATACATGTACATCTTAAAACCTACGCAAGAAAATGCTATAACATTGGCCAAACATAAGTCTGATAAGTCAGCTTGAAGGCTCATCTTTAATTACCAATAAAGGTTTGGCCAAGTTATAATTTAATTAACTTGCCTAGGGTGTGGCCAAGTTATAATTCAATTAACCTTCCTAAATGTTCAACCTTGTAACATCCTCTTACTAAACATAAATATGAACTACACATTTTGGCAACTGTAAAGTGATGATTGGATGTCAGAGACAAACCTCAAAGTATATAAATCCTCACTATTCTCATTTGGCATGCAGCTTCCATCTGGACCCAAGGACCTGGGAAAATCATCTGGAAACAACCTCCACTGGAACCATCCATCTACTCCTCAACATTGGAAGACAGTTTGGTAATTTGGCAACCTGCTTTTACAAACTATCTACTCTGCTATCGAACTCTCATATTGTTACTTGCTTAAGTATTATTATTGCGAATAAACCGTTTTAATTTAAACATTTGTTTAAAGGTTCGAGTAGAACCAGTATTGTTATAACTTGTCTTATAACTGGATGGAGAGCCTACTGTGGAGGAAATATGGAAAGCCCTCCATGACAAATTTGATCTGGATCCTTTGGAGTATCAAGAGAAATTGCTTAATTTAAAGCAAATGAATGGCGAAAGTGTGGTTCAGTTTGTTAATAGAGCAAAGAAATTGATAAAGAGGTTTTCTCCACCTAGACCAATGGAACCACAATTGCTTGCAACTATGAAAGAAATAAAACTGATTGAAGTTTTACAAAGAGGATTACAACAGGATATTCTACATTTAGTGTACACCTTACATCCTAAATGTCAAACATTGGCAGAACTATATGAGGCTGCTAAGCAAGCAGAAACTTCATTAAAACTAACTCAAAGAAAACCGATCACAATGGTGTCAAAATTGGAAACTCAACAAAGAAAAGAGACCAAAAAGACCCAGGTAATCAGAAAAGATGCTTCTACAGAAACCCCAAATTTTTGGAATAGAAAGCATGCACCTGACAACAAAAATGCTACTAAAGAAAAGTTTTCAAGCCAAAAAGTCCAAAAGTATGCACCAACTACAACAAATAGAAAACGACGAAGTTCAAGATATTCTCTGTTTTTCAGATAGTGACAAATCCACTTGTCAGCTGTTACAAAGCAAACAATCTGAGCGAAATGCTTCAACATTTATTGGACAATTTGAAACTAATACTGGTTTTAAGTTTGATGCCTTGATAGACTCTGGTAGTGACAGATCTTTCATTTCAAAAAAGGTATTAAGACAAGTTCAAGAAAAAGCATCCTTCCCAGAACAAACTGTGAAAAATGCTAGAGATGCTTCAGGAAATAGCATCGAGATATGTGGAGAAATCATTCTCAGACTTTATTTTAATGGAAAGATTATTAAACAACACTTTCTGATCAACAAAATCATTACACAACAATGTATTATTGGGTGTGACTTTCTACAACAAAATGGAGCTACCCTTGACTTTGGCAAGAGACAGATTATACTCCAGCCAGGTACAGAAAAGAATTACCCTGTTTGAACACAACACTTATCTTTCAAAGGATTTTACCCAGTTCCTCTTATTATGAAAAAGAATGAGAGTCAAATACTTACCCTTCAGACAACAATTGAACAAGAATATCTGGAGATGAAGGACAAAGTTACCCAAATTCTGGCAAAATATAAAGAAACTATTGCAGAAGACAGATTTGATATTGGCAATCCAGAGGTACCACCCTTGGAAATAACTCTTGAACCAGGTTCAACACCATATAGACAAAGGCCATATAGAATGCCTCCTCAAATCTTTGGACTAATATCATATGTTTGCTAGTACTTGTGGACAAACTTGAGGTTCTATTTGGACCAGTACTTTTGTGTGTTGCTAAATGAGTATTACAGATGACTATGGTTGGGAGTAGAGCCAAAAAATTGAGGAATAATTACTTCAAAATGGAAGAATCAGCTTGGAAAGGTTCTGAAAAAGAAGTTTCTCCTGATACAAAAAAGATCTTTTACATTGATGAAAATCTTCAAAAATTGAAACATTTTCTCCCATAATCATTTCACAGAATATTGAAATGTTTTTGGATATCTTTAAGCAAGAATATTATAAATATAAATTTTGAAAAAGGAAGAAATTGGGGTGAAAATGGCATGAATCTTAAATCTTCCAAATCTTAAAAAAAACATCAGGAGAGTTCAATAGCAGAGGATTTATAAAGTGGACAACATGTATATATGGATGCCATAAATTTTGATAGGCCAATTTTTAATTAACAGTTAAAATTGTTTGTCCCATGCAAATTAGTATTTTTTGTCTAAATTTATAAAGAAAAAGAGTTAAATTGACATAATATTGAAAAAAATTGAAGAAAATGATAATATTTTTTGAAGATTATTAGCAAAAATTTTTAATAATTTTCATAAGTTTTTTCTTTAGTTGGCTGTTTATCAGAACATCGAGTTGACATCTGGTTTGACATTCAAGAAACTGAAAGATAACAAGCAAAGAGTGACAACAGCAAAGATATTAAAGGAATTAGAAGTAGATGTAAGCATAAGAACAATACAGAGGGAGCTGAAAAGACAAAATTTCAAATATAACAGAGTCAGACAAAGAACTGATCTCACCTCCAAAGATTAAGAAATGCTCCTATGAGGTTATCAACAGAAATCCACTCTTGTTGCCAGGCTTATATGGGGGAATGGGCTGTAGAATAAGCAAATGTATAGAAAGAGAGGGTGGGCACATACAAAAGTAGACCAAAAATTTAACAATTGAACATTGTTCCAATAAACATGTCGCGCGGCCAAATAAGAAAAAAACTCAGAAAACTATGGAAATTTCTATAAAAAAAATATGTAAAAACGTACCTAACTGCTGTTTTAAAGAAATTTATATAAAATTGCAAGATTAGCCTATTATTAGCCTTTTTTCATCACAAAAAAGGTTTTGGCCTATAAAAATTTGAGGTGTTCCAACATACCTGTTGTCCACTTTATACATTTTCGGAACTGTGTAGTTTATATTTATGTTTAGAAACAGAATGTTACAAGGTTCAACACTTAAGAGGGCTAATTGAATTATAACTTGGTCAAAGCTTAACTGATAATTAAAGATGAACCTTAAAGATGACTAACTAAGCCTATGTTTGGCTAAATGTTATTGTAATTTCTTGAGCAGGCTCTATAAGAGGTACACATATCAGTATTTGTATAAAATAATATAGTTCAAGTATAAAATATAACCAAAGTTGTACACCACTGAATACATGCAACTGATATGAAAAGTGTCATTCTATCAGTATTTATATCATAGATGTCGCTAGTGTTTATTGACTTCATTTAAAAAAAGATTTAAATACTAGTATTTATCATGCAATATGCTTAAGTGTATTTAATGATTTAATAGGAAATAGTTGCAAATTTATACAATCCTTCAATTTTGATATTTGGGTCAATTTTCAAAATTTGTAGAGAAATAATGTTCTTTAGACATCTATATCTATAAAGTATTTTATCATCAAGGGTCATCATATAACCATTTTCAAAACATTGTTCATTAGACTTTTCATGTTCAGCAACTACTACAACATCATTTCCTTTCAATTTCTTACCAACTATCACACCAATTTCCATTGTATTATTAATATATAAACTGGAAACAATTATTCTAGGTGAATTTAATTGTTGGCAATCCTCTATAAATTTATTAGCAGCTACAAAATCTATAAAAAAAACAATATTATGTGATGTTTATCAAAAAAAAGAACAAAAATTATTAGAAATCATTCTTAACTGTTCATATAATTATTTTTTAATTGTCCATAAAATTGAACATCATCAATTCTTATATTACATTTAGCTAGAATAGTTAATTTATTCATTATTACTCCTAAAAAATATCCACAATTTGTCATTTTTCCTTCAAAATTTGTAGTCATTTCTAATAAGGCTTCTGTGTTCCTTTCATTAAAAAACTTCATTTCAACTCCTTTTTCTATTAATTGATTGTCAGTTTCAACTGTTGAAAAAGAAGATATTTTATTAACTTATAGAAAACAATGATTTTGAAGAATAATGTATTTTTCATTACATGTTATGCAAATTACATCAAGAAAATTTTCTATTGTATTTATGGTTAGAATATCATTGGCTTTCATTTGAATACTTCCAGAGAGATATGGTATATCATTTTTCAACTTGGATAAAACATGACCTTTTTGTTCATAATGAATATCTGGAAAGGAATAAAGAATATTTTAAATGTTATCTTTAAAATAAGTACATTTTTTTTTGTTGAACAATTGATTTTCTTTGAAATTCACTAAAAAGTTCGCCATTTTGGTTTTTTTCTTATTTTTTAAATTTTATATTTGATAGATGGTTTATGTCGTTGCCTAAGTGATTCAATTGTATGGAAAGTATACTTACAATTTGTTGAAAGATTTATATCTTCTCTTTTACGATACAGAAAAATATTAGCTATTGGAAGATAATTTTCCAAATTTCCATTTTCAAGTTCAGATTTTATAAGAACATATCTTCCAAGTAAATATTTTGATTTAGAACCAACATATGTTGTTGGAACATAAAAGAGACTGGTTTTTATCCGATCCAATAGATATTTATTTGAAATTTGACCACAAGTGAAAGGTAATTCACTTACAAATATAGCAAAGTATTGCCTTGTAGGAACTGTAATTTATTTCAATATATATAATAATAAATTAAGAATCAGCTTATAACTTACTATTCTCATCAGTTCTATCAATTAAAATTGTCCTTATCTCATAATATTTCAATAGATCAATTCTAATAAATGGTTGGGTTCCAATATATTTCCCAGAATTAATAAAGGTTGTATATAGCCTATCAGTAAGCAACTTAACATTAGGATTTGATACATTTGAAATGAATAATTCTGTATTTTCAAGTGATAATAATTTTTCATCTGAAAAAAAAAGTAAAAATGATGACAAGATTTTCTATTAAAATTATTACCCGAATCTCTAATTAAATTTCCTCTTATTCTCACTTCTTCTATAATCAAAAATACTCCAAAATATGCTTGTTGCAAAAATACAAAATTTCCAGTACAATTACATAGTTCACAATGAAAATTTTCATCATTATACAAAGATTTTCCTGTCACAATCTTTGAATAATTAATACACAATTCATTATTATCATGCAATTGATTTTCGGTATAAACAAGAAAATTTCTTAGACTATCTAAAAATTGTAAATTTTAATAATATCTCATTAAAATTCTATTTAAAAAAAAACCTTGATATTCTCTATTATAGAAACACATTTCTGTAATTCTATAATATCCATTAAGATCAACAGTCCACCATCCATAATTAAAATCTCTGTCTCTTGCATATCCAACATTTGCCCCACCTTCTACAGCATTTATGGCTAAATCATTGAAATGTGTTGTACGCTGATATGCATCACGAGAATGAGCGATATCTTCATCAAGTTTTATGTAACTTTGAGCAATTGATAAAATATTATAAAGAAATGAATAAAGATAAATCAACTTCATTCTATGGTTTTTCTCTCTTCTCTTTCTTTTCTCTCTCTCTCTGTTTAAGAACAATAAAAGAGAAATGAGAAAAAAAAAACTTTCTTGTTCTCCAATTTAATGATTTTCAATATTTACTATAGAATTTCCATGAAAAACTTGTATCTTAGATAAATTATTCAAACATTTTGATGAAAAAAAACATTTATAAAGTTCAGACAATTTTCTTTTTTATTGAATTATTGAAGTATTTGTAAAGACTAGAAGATTATTGCTTATTTAAAATATAATATTAATCTTTGTTAAAATATTCATTATATAATTATAGAATTTTTAAATATATATTGAATTTCTATCTTGTATTTTTTGTCTTTTAACAAGGACTGATCTTTAGCATTGTTAAGGAGAGACAATTGTAAATAAAAAGACACCTTTTCCTAATCTATTACTTATAGATGATATCCATTTTTCATTCAGATAATCATTTAAGTATTTGATACTGTTTTGTCAACACATTGAAAATTAGTTTTTGTATTATATTTCTTAAAATAGTCATTAGAAGGTAAACCTACTGTTAATTTAATTCTTCTTTAACACAGAAAATCACAAGAAGTAGTTTAATAAAAATTATTATAGCCGAATCTTTCTCACTTTTGACAAAAGTTTGTCCAATCACCTTTTTCTTCTGTTGCAAGTTTACTTGTGCCAAGTCTTTTGTTAAATAAAATATATCATTTTTTTTTTGATTTTTTCACCTTGTTCATAGAAAGGAAAAAGATTTTATATCTGGTCATATTTTGAGCAGATACTATCTTTCCAAAAGGAAAAAACTGCACTTTTCCAATAGAACCAGACAAATTAAAGATTCTTACTGTACTTTGTTGAGTCATTTTGATAAAGTTTTTTATGTTTTTCAATGAAAACCATCTTTTGTGAAGAGATTTAGTTGTTATAACCTGTTACTGTATACATAGAAGTATTGTCATATTGATATTTGGGAAATTGAATGATGGAACTTTAGAAAGAATTTTATTTCATAAGAAATAGATTTTTTGACCATATTAGATGGAGCCACTATGGAATTGACAAAGCTGGTTAGTCTCTAATCTGTAAACATAGATTGAACTGTATTATTAGATTGAAATTCATTTACTCAATACATATTGTAGCTGGGGCACAGAAAAATTTTGCTAAATGGATCCCCTATGATTTTAATCATGATGAAAAGGAGGTGAGGGTGAGTCATTGTATTGAACTATTCCAGGTATCTACAAAGACAGGTGTTGCCACCTGCTGGTCATGAAGCATTTGTTTAGGGATTATATTTTAGATATATCATGTATTGTTTTTATGTTTTCTATTTGAATTAGTACTTTGGTTAATTGGTAAATGATTGGAAAGGACAAATATGAGAAGTTGGAACTGGTCAAAAAGTCAACAATAGTTGAGTTTCACTTTCTGATACCCTTTAGCTGGCCACTAAATTAATGTTCTTAAGTGGTTACAGTAAGACTAATGTAGTTCTATAATTAATGCTAAATTCATTACATTTATTTGTAAGAATTTTTTATGCTCACCTGCATTGCAGCATATACGTATAATAGAATAATGCTTTTCCTTTGAAGAAATTGATAGAATTTTCTGATAATCATTGTCTTCCAATCCTTTTTGTGAGCTATGTATAAAAGTGTGTCAATGGGTATTATTATTATTGACAGAAGGAAATTGATTAGTATTCTGGGAGAAGTTCTTGCCCAAGATATAAAATCAGATTATTTTATTTAAAAAATCTTCAAAATATAGGTAACAATTTCTGCTGGTACTCCACTAAACTGCAATATCAATTCAAGAGTAACTGTTACTGCTTTTGTATCCTCTCCTGAAAATTGTGATGCTGATAACACTGCCCTTACCCAAATTGGACCTAATTTCCAATGGATCAAAAAGACTGTAGAAAGTGAAGAATACTGTGTAGACTAAGGTAAAAATTACTTTTCAGTAGTGCTCTTATTTAATTCAAATAAATTCACTACAGCTTAAGCATCTAAAGAATGGTAACCCTGATAAACTTTCTGGTAACATAACATAGTTTGCGCACTTTAGCTCACTAGTTCTGGCAAAAGATATACACACTCTATGAAGAGATTCCCTGAGTAAATTGCTCAATCTTTGATTAAGGAAACTTTATTTAAAACAATATCTATTAAAAAATATAAATATCCATATATGCTTAATTAAGTAGTTTGTCATTGTTGTTTTGCTCAATTTTGCCAAACTCTTTCTCATATACTTTCATAGAAGTATTCTAACTACTATGTTATAATTTATTATAAGGATAAAATTTTATAAATATTAGTACAAGAGAATATGTCCTTCTGATAAGTTTGTTTTTTTCTAAATTGTGCTCTTCATCTTTTTTATGCAAGGCTCATATCAGTGGAAATCTGCTCTTTAATCCAATCAAAGTAGGTCGAAACCTAAAAAATACATAATAAAAGATGTAGATGAATATAAATGCAATTCTGGTAAAATGTCTTTTGTACACTCTGAAAATTGTTAATTTGGCTTGATGCCTGTTTCCCTAAAGGTACTATTTGCTTCTACCCATTCACTCATCTCAGTGTCCCTGATATTATAATCAAGTTAAAAGTGATACTACTCAATACTTAGGAGAATATTAATCACTATAAAAAGATATACATCTTTCAGTGTTTAACAAAGACTTTTAGCCAGTTCTGTAAATATATAGAAGATGATATACTCTTGTATAAACACTCATTTTCTTAATGCAACCCCTATATCCCCAACTTGCCAATCCAATAAGTCTCCAACGGTTATTGATTTTGCAATGCAATGGTCCACCAGAATCTCCCTAAAAATGTAAAAAACTCATTAAGAATAGAAGATTAACAAAACGTTTTTGCCAAAAAAAAGAATTCATATTAGGATAAGAACCCTAAAATGTAATTTGGGAGCATTTTGTCTTAATTTTAAAGAAAAATTCAAAAATTACATACAGTACAAGCTATTCCTTGTTCACTTTTAGATTTTCCAACACAAATCATTCCTGGATATTTCAGGAGAGTAGAAGGAAACATTTCTTTGTTACATTCATCTTTTTCAAACATCTGTTGTTTTACTCTGTATAGAAATCTAGCGACAGCTAAAAAAATAGATAAAAGTATTTAATATATATAGTAATGTACATAAAAAGACATTTAGATACAAACTTTCACTGTCCAAACATCCATAGCCACTAATTTCACATTCATATTTGTTTGTAATACCATAATCTCTTTCTGGCAAGCAAATAGGAAGTATATCTGGTGTGAATTCTATTTCTTTTATCAATTTTAAAACAGCAATATCATCTTGTAGAGACACTCTTCTATAATTTTTATTCATATAAATCTTTTGAACTCGGATTTTTTGTGAGCTATGTATAAAAGTGTGTCAATGGGTATTATTATTATTGACAGAAGGAAATTGATTAGTATTCTGGGAGAAGTTCTTGCCCAAGAAGAGAATAAATGATCAGGATTGATTACACTGTACAAGAAATTTATTATTAATAAGAACATTTTTATCCTCTTTGAAAAGGTGTATGTCATAGAAGAAAACAATGAAAACTTTCAAATCAATTTATAATTGTACTCAAAAATCAGAAGTTGTACTAAAAAAATTTCAAAATATTTTATTTTTTTTTAAAAGATTGCAATTTTGCTTTTGACAATTGTGGATATTCAATAAAAAACAATCCAATGCAACCATTTGAAAGGTTTAAAATGTTTGATTCAAAAATTTTTAATTGTACATAGTTTTAAATTTTTTTTTTGTAAATAAGAAATAATATTTGTCTTTGTTTTTTGTTTTTAGCAAATGTTATGGTCATTTCTAGTGAAAATTTAAAATTTACCCAAAAACGATAAGAGCAATTGTGTTGAAACAACAATTAACTTGAATTTATTCAAATAGATAATAAATCAACTATTTTAAAACTTTTCATTCATTATCATATTAAATTTTTTGGCTGTGGAATAGATGAGTAATAGAGTTTTTTTTTGTGGGGTAGATGAGCAAAAGGAGAAAAACATTTAATGGCTGGACAAACAATTTTTTCTATGATGAAACATTTCTTTGTAATGGCCTGTAAAATGATAGAAATCAACACTAACTAATAAGTTATAAATGTAGAAAAATGAATGACAGATGACACTATAATGCAATTTATGCATTTTGTACAACTTTGGTTATATTTTACATGCTTGAACTCTATTATTTTATGCAACATATACATGTACATCTTAAAACCTACGCAAGAAAATGCTATAACATTGGCCAAACATAAGTCTGATAAGTCAGCTTGAAGGCTCATCTTTAATTACCAATAAAGGTTTGGCCAAGTTATAATTTAATTAACTTGCCTAGGGTGTGGCCAAGTTATAATTCAATTAACCTTCCTAAATGTTCAACCTTGTAACATCCTCTTACTAAACATAAATATGAACTACACATTTTGGCAACTGTAAAGTGATGATTGGATGTCAGAGACAAACCTCAAAGTATATAAATCCTCACTATTCTCATTTGGCATGCAGCTTCCATCTGGACCCAAGGACCTGGGAAAATCATCTGGAAACAACCTCCACTGGAACCATCCATCTACTCCTCAACATTGGAAGACAGTTTGGTAATTTGGCAACCTGCTTTTACAAACTATCTACTCTGCTATCGAACTCTCATATTGTTACTTGCTTAAGTATTATTATTGCGAATAAACCGTTTTAATTTAAACATTTGTTTAAAGGTTCGAGTAGAACCAGTATTGTTATAACTTGCAAACGCATAGATTTTGCCAGCAAGAGCAGTACAACATTAACTTACGTATCAAAATCTATACAATGTACTGCTGTTAAAACATATCTTGGATGGATTAACACAGCTCCTCAATATTGCCCATTTCCATGAGAGATGTAACCTTATTTTGAATTGAATCATCTAAAATTCAAAACTTTACATGAAAAAAATATAATTCAAGTAACCTGCCACAGTACATTCTCAACATTTGTTCTTTCTCCTCCAACAATATATTGCTCTCCTCTACCATACTCCAAACCACAGTATGTCATATTCAAGAAATTTGTTTCTAATATATTAAGTGATTTATAGTGAAAAAATGTAAAAAGTGATAAATACTTATTTCATCTTCAACATATAAACAATTGTGCATTTGAATAAGAATGCTTTGGTTTTGATTAACTGAAGCAGACACTCCAATTTCAATCTAAAATATGAAAATGGAATGACTGAGAGAAGGAAATTAATGGTAATTTATATCAACTTGTGAAAAACTCCCAAGTAAATTGTATTTATAATAGAAAATTTCATCTTTTTTCTTTTCAATTTGGGCAGTAGGATACTGTGAAAGGTTTGAGTCATCATATAGAACTCTTAGCTTGAATAAAACTTCAGTTGTAGAAAACTTTGACTAACTGCTTAATGTTATAAATATGCAATTATTATTAGTGTTGACAATTGTTTTTACAACTGGTGATATTAGTGTAGAACTTTGGGTAAATTTTAAATTTTCACTAGAAATGACCATAACATTTGCTAAAAACAAAAAACAAAGACAAATATTATTTCTTATTTACAAAAAAAAAATTTAAAACTATGTACAATTAAAAATTTTTGAATCAAACATTTTAAACCTTTCAAATGGTTGCATTGGATTGTTTTTTATTGAATATCCACAATTGTCAAAAGCAAAATTGCAATCTTTTAAAAAAAAATAAAATATTTTGAAATTTTTTTAGTACAACTTCTGATTTTTGAGTACAATTATAAATTGATTTGAAAGTTTTCATTGTTTTCTTCTATGACATACACCTTTTCAAAGAGGATAAAAATGTTCTTATTAATAATAAATTTCTTGTACAGTGTAATCAATCCTGATCATTTATTCTCTTCTTGGGCAAGAACTTCTCCCAGAATACTAATCAATTTCCTTCTGTCAATAATAATAATACCCATTGACACACTTTTATACATAGCTCACAAAAAATCCGAGTTCAAAAGATTTATATGAATAAAAATTATAGAAGAGTGTCTCTACAAGATGATATTGCTGTTTTAAAATTGATAAAAGAAATAGAATTCACACCAGATATACTTCCTATTTGCTTGCCAGAAAGAGATTATGGTATTACAAACAAATATGAATGTGAAATTAGTGGCTATGGATGTTTGGACAGTGAAAGTTTGTATCTAAATGTCTTTTTATGTACATTACTATATATATTAAATACTTTTATCTATTTTTTTAGCTGTCGCTAGATTTCTATACAGAGTAAAACAACAGATGTTTGAAAAAGATGAATGTAACAAAGAAATGTTTCCTTCTACTCTCCTGAAATATCCAGGAATGATTTGTGTTGGAAAATCTAAAAGTGAACAAGGAATAGCTTGTACTGTATGTAATTTTTGAATTTTTCTTTAAAATTAAGACAAAATGCTCCCAAATTACATTTTAGGGTTCTTATCCTAATATGAATTCTTTTTTTTGGCAAAAACGTTTTGTTAATCTTCTATTCTTAATGAGTTTTTTACATTTTTAGGGAGATTCTGGTGGACCATTGCATTGCAAAATCAATAACCGTTGGAGACTTATTGGATTGGCAAGTTGGGGATATAGGGGTTGCATTAAGAAAATGAGTGTTTATACAAGAGTATATCATCTTCTATATATTTACAGAACTGGCTAAAAGTCTTTGTTAAACACTGAAAGATGTATATCTTTTTATAGTGATTAATATTCTCCTAAGTATTGAGTAGTATCACTTTTAACTTGATTATAATATCAGGGACACTGAGATGAGTGAATGGGTAGAAGCAAATAGTACCTTTAGGGAAACAGGCATCAAGCCAAATTAACAATTTTCAGAGTGTACAAAAGACATTTTACCAGAATTGCATTTATATTCATCTACATCTTTTATTATGTATTTTTTAGGTTTCGACCTACTTTGATTGGATTAAAGAGCAGATTTCCACTGATATGAGCCTTGCATAAAAAAGATGAAGAGCACAATTTAGAAAAAAACAAACTTATCAGAAGGACATATTCTCTTGTACTAATATTTATAAAATTTTATCCTTATAATAAATTATAACATAGTAGTTAGAATACTTCTATGAAAGTATATGAGAAAGAGTTTGGCAAAATTGAGCAAAACAACAATGACAAACTACTTAATTAAGCATATATGGATATTTATATTTTTTAATAGATATTGTTTTAAATAAAGTTTCCTTAATCAAAGATTGAGCAATTTACTCAGGGAATCTCTTCATAGAGTGTGTATATCTTTTGCCAGAACTAGTGAGCTAAAGTGCGCAAACTATGTTATGTTACCAGAAAGTTTATCAGGGTTACCATTCTTTAGATGCTTAAGCTGTAGTGAATTTATTTGAATTAAATAAGAGCACTACTGAAAAGTAATTTTTACCTTAGTCTACACAGTATTCTTCACTTTCTACAGTCTTTTTGATCCATTGGAAATTAGGTCCAATTTGGGTAAGGGCAGTGTTATCAGCATCACAATTTTCAGGAGAGGATACAAAAGCAGTAACAGTTACTCTTGAATTGATATTGCAGTTTAGTGGAGTACCAGCAGAAATTGTTACCTATATTTTGAAGATTTTTTAAATAAAATAATCTGATTTTATATCTTGGGCAAGAACTTCTCCCAGAATACTAATCAATTTCCTTCTGTCAATAATAATAATACCCATTGACACACTTTTATACATAGCTCACAAAAAGGATTGGAAGACAATGATTATCAGAAAATTCTATCAATTTCTTCAAAGGAAAAGCATTATTCTATTATACGTATATGCTGCAATGCAGGTGAGCATAAAAAATTCTTACAAATAAATGTAATGAATTTAGCATTAATTATAGAACTACATTAGTCTTACTGTAACCACTTAAGAACATTAATTTAGTGGCCAGCTAAAGGGTATCAGAAAGTGAAACTCAACTATTGTTGACTTTTTGACCAGTTCCAACTTCTCATATTTGTCCTTTCCAATCATTTACCAATTAACCAAAGTACTAATTCAAATAGAAAACATAAAAACAATACATGATATATCTAAAATATAATCCCTAAACAAATGCTTCATGACCAGCAGGTGGCAACACCTGTCTTTGTAGATACCTGGAATAGTTCAATACAATGACTCACCCTCACCTCCTTTTCATCATGATTAAAATCATAGGGGATCCATTTAGCAAAATTTTTCTGTGCCCCAGCTACAATATGTATTGAGTAAATGAATTTCAATCTAATAATACAGTTCAATCTATGTTTACAGATTAGAGACTAACCAGCTTTGTCAATTCCATAGTGGCTCCATCTAATATGGTCAAAAAATCTATTTCTTATGAAATAAAATTCTTTCTAAAGTTCCATCATTCAATTTCCCAAATATCAATATGACAATACTTCTATGTATACAGTAACAGGTTATAACAACTAAATCTCTTCACAAAAGATGGTTTTCATTGAAAAACATAAAAAACTTTATCAAAATGACTCAACAAAGTACAGTAAGAATCTTTAATTTGTCTGGTTCTATTGGAAAAGTGCAGTTTTTTCCTTTTGGAAAGATAGTATCTGCTCAAAATATGACCAGATATAAAATCTTTTTCCTTTCTATGAACAAGGTGAAAAAATCAAAAAAAAAAATGATATATTTTATTTAACAAAAGACTTGGCACAAGTAAACTTGCAACAGAAGAAAAAGGTGATTGGACAAACTTTTGTCAAAAGTGAGAAAGATTCGGCTATAATAATTTTTATTAAACTACTTCTTGTGATTTTCTGTGTTAAAGAAGAATTAAATTAACAGTAGGTTTACCTTCTAATGACTATTTTAAGAAATATAATACAAAAACTAATTTTCAATGTGTTGACAAAACAGTATCAAATACTTAAATGATTATCTGAATGAAAAATGGATATCATCTATAAGTAATAGATTAGGAAAAGGTGTCTTTTTATTTACAATTGTCTCTCCTTAACAATGCTAAAGATCAGTCCTTGTTAAAAGACAAAAAATACAAGATAGAAATTCAATATATATTTAAAAATTCTATAATTATATAATGAATATTTTAACAAAGATTAATATTATATTTTAAATAAGCAATAATCTTCTAGTCTTTACAAATACTTCAATAATTCAATAAAAAAGAAAATTGTCTGAACTTTATAAATGTTTTTTTTCATCAAAATGTTTGAATAATTTATCTAAGATACAAGTTTTTCATGGAAATTCTATAGTAAATATTGAAAATCATTAAATTGGAGAACAAGAAAGTTTTTTTTTTCTCATTTCTCTTTTATTGTTCTTAAACAGAGAGAGAGAGAAAAGAAAGAGAAGAGAGAAAAACCATAGAATGAAGTTGATTTATCTTTATTCATTTCTTTATAATATTTTATCAATTGCTCAAAGTTACATAAAACTTGATGAAGATATCGCTCATTCTCGTGATGCATATCAGCGTACAACACATTTCAATGATTTAGCCATAAATGCTGTAGAAGGTGGGGCAAATGTTGGATATGCAAGAGACAGAGATTTTAATTATGGATGGTGGACTGTTGATCTTAATGGATATTATAGAATTACAGAAATGTGTTTCTATAATAGAGAATATCAAGGTTTTTTTTTAAATAGAATTTTAATGAGATATTATTAAAATTTACAATTTTTAGATAGTCTAAGAAATTTTCTTGTTTATACCGAAAATCAATTGCATGATAATAATGAATTGTGTATTAATTATTCAAAGATTGTGACAGGAAAATCTTTGTATAATGATGAAAATTTTCATTGTGAACTATGTAATTGTACTGGAAATTTTGTATTTTTGCAACAAGCATATTTTGGAGTATTTTTGATTATAGAAGAAGTGAGAATAAGAGGAAATTTAATTAGAGATTCGGGTAATAATTTTAATAGAAAATCTTGTCATCATTTTTACTTTTTTTTTCAGATGAAAATTATTATCACTTGAAAATACAGAATTATTCATTTCAAATGTATCAAATCCTAATGTTAAGTTGCTTACTGATAGGCTATATACAACCTTTATTAATTCTGGGAAATATATTGGAACCCAACCATTTATTAGAATTGATCTATTGAAATATTATGAGATAAGGACAATTTTAATTGATAGAACTGATGAGAATAGTAAGTTATAAGCTGATTCTTAATTTATTATTATATATATTGAAATAAATTACAGTTCCTACAAGGCAATACTTTGCTATATTTGTAAGTGAATTACCTTTCACTTGTGGTCAAATTTCAAATAAATATCTATTGGATCGGATAAAAACCAGTCTCTTTATGTTCCAACAACATATGTTGGTTCTAAATCAAAATATTTACTTGGAAGATATGTTCTTATAAAATCTGAACTTGAAAATGGAAATTTGGAAAATTATCTTCCAATAGCTAATATTTTTCTGTATCGTAAAAGAGAAGATATAAATCTTTCAACAAATTGTAAGTATACTTTCCATACAATTGAATCACTTAGGCAACGACATAAACCATCTATCAATATAAAATTTAAAAATAAGAAAAAAACCAAAATGGCGAACTTTTTAGTGAATTTCAAAGAAAATCAATTGTTCAACAAAAAAAAATGTACTTATTTTAAAGATAACATTTAAAATATTCTTTATTCCTTTCCAGATATTCATTATGAACAAAAAGGTCATGTTTTATCCAAGTTGAAAAATGATATACCATATCTCTCTGGAAGTATTCAAATGAAAGCCAATGATATTCTAACCATAAATACAATAGAAATTTTCTTGATGTAATTTGCATAACATGTAATGAAAAATACATTATTCTTCAAAATCATTGTTTTCTATAAGTTAATAAAAATATCTTCTTTTTCAACAGTTGAAACTGACAATCAATTAATAGAAAAAGGAGTTGAAATGAAGTTTTTTAATGAAAGGAACACAGAAGCCTTATTAGAAATGACTACAAATTTTGAAGGAAAAATGACAATTGTGGATATTTTTTAGGAGTAATAATGAATAAATTAACTATTCTAGCTAAATGTAATATAAGAATTGATGATGTTCAATTTTATGGACAATTAAAAAATAATTATATGAACAGTTAAGAATGATTTCTAATAATTTTTGTTCTTTTTTTTGATAAACATCACATAATATTGTTTTTTTTATAGATTTTGTAGCTGCTAATAAATTTATAGAGGATTGCCAACAATTAAATTCACCTAGAATAATTGTTTCCAGTTTATATATTAATAATACAATGGAAATTGGTGTGATAGTTGGTAAGAAATTGAAAGGAAATGATGTTGTAGTAGTTGCTGAACATGAAAAGTCTAATGAACAATGTTTTGAAAATGGTTATATGATGACCCTTGATGATAAAATACTTTATAGATATAGATGTCTAAAGAACATTATTTCTCTACAAATTTTGAAAATTGACCCAAATATCAAAATTGAAGGATTGTATAAATTTGCAACTATTTCCTATTAAATCATTAAATACACTTAAGCATATTGCATGATAAATACTAGTATTTAAATCTTTTTTTTAAATGAAGTCAATAAACACTAGCGACATCTATGATATAAATACTGATAGAATGACACTTTTCATATCAGTTGCATGTATTCAGTGGTGTACAACTTTGGTTATATTTTATACTTGAACTATATTATTTTATACAAATACTGATATGTGTACCTCTTATAGAGCCTGCTCAAGAAATTACAATAACATTTAGCCAAACATAGGCTTAGTTAGTCATCTTTAAGGTTCATCTTTAATTATCAGTTAAGCTTTGACCAAGTTATAATTCAATTAGCCCTCTTAAGTGTTGAACCTTGTAACATTCTGTTTCTAAACATAAATATAAACTACACAGTTCCGAAAATGTATAAAGTGGACAACAGGTATGTTGGAACACCTCAAATTTTTATAGGCCAAAACCTTTTTTGTGATGAAAAAAGGCTAATAATAGGCTAATCTTGCAATTTTATATAAATTTCTTTAAAACAGCAGTTAGGTACGTTTTTACATATTTTTTTTATAGAAATTTCCATAGTTTTCTGAGTTTTTTTCTTATTTGGCCGCGCGACATGTTTATTGGAACAATGTTCAATTGTTAAATTTTTGGTCTACTTTTGTATGTGCCCACCCTCTCTTTCTATACATTTGCTTATTCTACAGCCCATTCCCCCATATAAGCCTGGCAACAAGAGTGGATTTCTGTTGATAACCTCATAGGAGCATTTCTTAATCTTTGGAGGTGAGATCAGTTCTTTGTCTGACTCTGTTATATTTGAAATTTTGTCTTTTCAGCTCCCTCTGTATTGTTCTTATGCTTACATCTACTTCTAATTCCTTTAATATCTTTGCTGTTGTCACTCTTTGCTTGTTATCTTTCAGTTTCTTGAATGTCAAACCAGATGTCAACTCGATGTTCTGATAAACAGCCAACTAAAGAAAAAACTTATGAAAATTATTAAAAATTTTTGCTAATAATCTTCAAAAAATATTATCATTTTCTTCAATTTTTTTCAATATTATGTCAATTTAACTCTTTTTCTTTATAAATTTAGACAAAAAATACTAATTTGCATGGGACAAACAATTTTAACTGTTAATTAAAAATTGGCCTATCAAAATTTATGGCATCCATATATACATGTTGTCCACTTTATAAATCCTCTGCTATTGAACTCTCCTGATGTTTTTTTTAAGATTTGGAAGATTTAAGATTCATGCCATTTTCACCCCAATTTCTTCCTTTTTCAAAATTTATATTTATAATATTCTTGCTTAAAGATATCCAAAAACATTTCAATATTCTGTGAAATGATTATGGGAGAAAATGTTTCAATTTTTGAAGATTTTCATCAATGTAAAAGATCTTTTTTGTATCAGGAGAAACTTCTTTTTCAGAACCTTTCCAAGCTGATTCTTCCATTTTGAAGTAATTATTCCTCAATTTTTTGGCTCTACTCATCATACCCAGAGTAAGATTTTCAGATGCTTTTCAGCTGTCTAAACTATGTTCTTTGTTTTGAATGAATTTATGAACAGGTTCAAAAAATCAAAGGTAAACAGTTTTAAAAAAATGGCTGTCTATTCTGTTGTATAGCAATTGTAGGAATTTTGTTTTCATCGCAACCATAGTCATCTGTAATACTCATTTAGCAACACACAAAAGTACTGGTCCAAATAGAACCTCAAGTTTGTCCACAAGTACTAGCAAATATATGATATTAGTCCAAAGATTTTGACACAATTGAAAGTTCTAAAAAGTCTTTTCTGCCTTTAACTACTTCCATTAATCCTGAGTAATTCGATCAGATAAATTAAGGCCATTTTGCATTCATAATAAATAGTATTGAGTGAAATCTATGGTTTTCTAAAGAGCAGCTATACAGAATTGAAACTTATTGGCCAAAAGCTAATGAATACTAAAAAGTGGGAGAAAATGAGTCATTTTTACAAAAGAAAAGTAAAAAAATATGGGGAATTTTTTTTACTAAAAAAACTTTATTGAATTGTGTCCATTTTAATTATTTTGGACAATGTCTTCACTGAGAGAAGTGAGAAATTGATAATTGAAAGAAACATACTTTTATTGTTCAATTTTTATTATATTTTCAGGAAAAGGAAAATAATGAAGAACTGAGAGAAGAGGAAAAAACACGAAAAAGTGAAAAAAATAAGAAATGTTCCAACTGTAGATTTTTTGTTATATTTCTTATTACATTTATAGTTTTGGCTGTTATTGGAGCTGGTGTTTTTGTTCTCTTTAAATTTGTAATATTTAAATCAGGCAATCTATTAATCTTAGAAAAAAATATCATATAATTAATCATTAATTATTTAGACTACAAATCAGAAAAAAATGTTGATGAAACTCTGAAAAACAGTAGCATTGGTACTAAATCTCTTTACATATTTCTCTATTTAACCTTTTATTTCATAATTAATAGATATAATTTCAATGGAAATGCTAATTGATCAACAATTCCATAGGGAATTATACAATAGTCAATCTGATACTTTTGAACTATACAAGACAGATATTAGTTATTTTTTAGCTAAACTATTTGGATCATGGAATAAGGAAGAAAGGAATCAGATTCAATCTATTGATCATTTTGAATTTACTCATGCAAGTCTTTGTGTAAATTTCAATATTAATATTAACAATGGAAAATTGGAGAGAAAAAGACCATAAAAATTGGAGATAAAGACTTTTATTCTTAAAAAACCACATCACACAGCTGAACATTAGAAGTTGAATTGAAAATTTGTACAAAAACACTATCGCAAAATTGACTTTTACACTTACAAATAAATTGACATTGTGTTTGACTCGACAATTGTATATCACATTTCAAAAATTGGCCTACAAAATTAGTTTCAAATTGAGGTGTTGTTGGAACATAAACAAATAAATTTTCTTCCCTTTCATCATTACAATTTAGATTTTTTCCTCTAACCTCAACTGAGAATGGTCCCAATGTCTTGTCTACATTTGGAAATGGATATCTGATACCATTAGAAAATTCTAAAGATTCTGTACATGTAGAAGAATTTGAATCTGATAAAATGTTAAAAAGTTCTAAATTATCTTGAAAGTGAGGTTTAACTTTCAAAACAGATTTTGAACAGGTAACCCTATTTACAGAATTTTTATTAATAGTACATGTTTGTACATGTTTACAAAGACCAGAACTGAGAATAAAATATTCACAATTACTATTTTCTCGGCACTTTTGAAGACAAGCAGCAAAATTTTCATTTCCAGTATATAGCGCTGTCTCTGTACATTCGCCTTGTTCACAAGTGGTATAGCCAAATCCAAATCTATCATAAGATAGCATATTTGGCATAGCCGAGGGAGCAGCTGTTGTAAAAAAAGAATTACTTTTAGGGAAACAGTATCTTCCAAGATGGGGAGTCTCTGTCATTGTAAACCCCATGCAATTATGCAATGCTAAGCAGTATTTTGCGCAATCTTCAGGATCTTCTAAATCAGGGGTTGCTACTCCAAGTGAATCATAACCGGTCAGCATACCATGTCTATAAGTAAAGCCAGGTATACTTAATTTGGGTCTGTAGCAACCATAACCAGGCTCAAAGCAACAAAAATTTTTACTATTACCACTTGTACATTCGTCTAGAGTTATATCATCATTTCCTATACGTATTCGTTCATGAACAACAACATTACATTGATCAGAAATGTTGAATAGACAGTTAGTCAATTGTAAAATACAAGCAAATGATAAAATTTTATAAAAAATCATCTCAAGCGCAACTTGTTCAAACGGCCAATGATCAATCTATGCGAGAAATTCAGGAAATAAAAATATCGGAAAAATCTTAACGATTAATTGATCAATGAGCACTCTTTAATACTCTCTGAATTAAACAAAAAAATTCAATGAATTTTTTGTCTTTACTCCAGGAAGTAGACATCAATAGCGATTGATTTATATATATTTATTTATAAACTTAGAACAACACTCATCATTATCTGGCAACTGATCAAAAATCATAATCAAGCTCTTCTTAGAGTATTGTTTTGTTAATTGAAAAACTTAAAAAATTGAGTTGTTCAAAGATGGAAACTTTTCAGTTGGAGAAAAATTTTTAAACAAGTTACCTATTCTGAAAGTTTTGAATTTTACTTGACTTTGTGATTTTATTGCTGCAATTTATTTATGACATTTTGTTCACAGGGATGTTCTGTCCAGGTTATGATTTGTCAAAGGACATTTTGGTAACTAATGTTTTTCACTGTCTCTATTCTTTCATTTTAAAGTGTTATCATCTCCCTCCATCTCCCTCTCTTTCTATAAATATACCTGCAAAGTTCAAAATAATAGCATATATTTTGTTTAGAAAGATTAATAATGAATCTTTGGATTGAAAATATCTTCAATCAATTTATGAAAAATTGATAGGGCTTCTTCAGTTCATTTTCTCTTCCTTATTTCTAAAATGTCAGAAATATAAAAGAGCATTCTTTAAACAGGAATACGCAAGGAATATTAATCACTGAGGTTTTCTTTTTTGGCTCTCTTGTATTGATTTAAACACATTCCCCTGACAAAACATCCCCTGACAGATTGTCTCTTAAGCTAGAAAAGTGAAACAATTTCTTTATTGTACTAAAAAATGTTACATTGACTTGCTAATCAAATATTAATATAAAAAATGTTTCAAACTTTTTTAAATGTACTTAAGATTAGAATTATTTGGTTTGAAAAAAAAAATACTCTTTTACAGGAAGTCTTGTCCCCTTCCTGTTTTTGATATTTGGTAGCCATCTTTTTTTACTACAATGATTATTCTTGGAGCTTTAACCATTAATTCTGATTTAAAACAACGTGATTTTGATATAGATATTTCATCAAAGACTTTCATACTCCCAAAGTATTTATTTAAAAAAAGTAAGTTGTTCACTTTATCTTTATTTGACCATTGTGTCATGTCCACTTTCCAATTTTTCATCAGGTGATGGCTCCTTACTGTCAAATTTGTAAATATAGCCTATTTGAAAGAAAATTCACAAGGAAATGCTCACTCTGCTCTCATCAGTTTAACTTTCAAAGAAAGTGGTCAGAATGATAAAATGACATCAGGAAAATGTTTGGCTGGCAAGTGTCTCAGTGAAATTCCAAAATCAAATTTTGCTATTCCATTTATTAATAACTGTTGTCCGACTTATTAATAGAACAAGGCAGCAGTTTAATTCTAAAGGACCAGATGGCTTATACTTCACTCTTGACAAGACTTTTATTCCAGATAATTTTCTGATAAATGATATTTGCAGAGAAAATGAAAGAATAGTTATATTCTCTACACAAAGTCAAGCCAAATTACTATCTCATAGAAAGATGTGGTTTATGGATGGAATCTTTAAATGTGTTAAGGATGCATTTTATCAGCTATTTGTCATTTATGGATTTGTAATAAAGAACAGTGAATTGAAATAAGTTCCTTGGGTCTTTGCATTTATGAGCTCAAAATCAAAGAAAGCATATAAGCTTTTGTTCAAGGTGAGTAGGGTATTTGGTTAAAAACTATAATTGTAATATTAACAAACCAATGTTGTTTGGAAAACAGGAAATTAAAGCAATAATAGATGGTCAAACTACTGGCATTACCATTCCTAAAAACTGATGTTATCCCTGCTATCTTTGACATTCTCAGAAACACATCATCTGAGAAAAAATTCCTCAGCAAACTAATTGACTATGTGGATAAGCAAAAATTTCTGGAGATTTCTTTGTTAGGTGTACTTGGTCAGTCTACAGAGCAACAATTACAACCAACAATGACTTGGAAGGTTGATATAATAAGTTGAATAGAAATGTATCTGCTAGAGGCTCACTCCACTTCTCAATAGATGAGTTAAAAAGAGAGCCAAATTTGATTAATCACTAAAAGAAACTTTTGAGTGATGGAAAAGTCTGCAGGCTTCAAAAGAAATGTTATGAGAGAATTGAAAGTGATATTTTCAAGTATTGGGATGAATTTAATGTTGCTTCAATGGCAGCATTACAACTATTGGATAGCATATTTAACATATATTGTTGCTTTTAATTTTACTTTAACTATCCTTCAATTTTTTTTCTATTTAAATAACTAGCCTTGGCATTTCACTTTTTTTTCAAATATATTTTCTATACTTAAATATTTTTCAAAATCATAAATAATACAGACATTTTTAATTATACTCAAAGAAAGATTTGTCCAGCATTCATTATAAAGGATACGACAGAAAATGTCCCCAAATGCATGGTTTAACCCTAACCCTAACCTAGCCCTTGTCTCTCTCTAACCTTTTTGATTACCCCTAACCCTTAGATGGAACCCTCCTAACTACAAATCAAAAGCTACTTTACTCCTGCTAACCATTTTTCAATCCAAAATCTTGCTTTCAAAAATCTCACTTGGGGATGTTTTCTGTTGGCCCCCATTATAAATGATCAACCAATTTGTTCTGAATGCTTTAATCATCATGCAGATTTGACAACTGATCAGAAAATCATAAGTATGTTATGCTTAATTTTCTATTTTCTCCTTTTGCCATAAGATTTCATTCTAAACTTTCAGAATGCCCCAGCTTCTGCCAAATACGTTTCCTGAATGCTGGAACTACTACTTGTTCACAATGCTATAAAAGATATGGTTTGAAATCTGATAAAACTTGTGCACCATGTACACCTTATTATGTTGTTTGTGGTGCTGATTTGAATGATAATCTACTTTGCTCATCTTGTGATAAGGGAACTGCACTTAACACTATAACTAAGAAATGTGATTCTTGTCCTCAGCCTGTTTTCAATGTACTTTAAATTCTCATACCCAAAGGACATTTTGTATCAAATGCCACAATCAATATATAGATGGAACTTGTTTATCATGTCCATTGAACTGTGCTAAATGTATAAATGATAATGGAATTGTCAAATGTTCAGAATGCCTTTGTACAATTTTGGTTATATTTTAAGCTTGAACTATAGCACTTTATGCAACTTACACATGTATCCCTCAAAACCTATGCAAGAAAATGCTATAACATTGCCCAGATAGCACTGATAGAGATAAGCAGACAGTTTTGTGTAGGGCGGTGTATATGCAATGTGTGGCATTAAATTTCATTAAATTATATACAGAATATTGCTATTAGTAACCTAGCAATAATATTACGGTTTATTAATATTTAAATTTATGAATTTAAACTAAAAGCAGTTCAATTAAATATCTTTTATGCTTCACTTCTAAGTTTACATTTTATTTACTATTCAGCAGTATTGTATGAGTGTGAATGTACCTGAGTGCGAATGTACCTTTTTCTTCTTTATTACATTTATGGATTTTTCATAAATTAATTTGGTCAATGATATATAGGTATATATATTAGAAAAGGAAAAAATATTTTGTAAATGTGAATTATAATATTAAAAACTAAAATGTTGTTGAAAAGTGAGGTGGCAGCCATTTCAAAATTGGAAGAAGTAGAAACAAACTTTCACTTTGGAAGACATATATTTACAACTTTTCATTGTCTTGATGAGATGAAACTGGAAGAGTAAGAACCTTCTAGACGAGTATGATTATCTACCACTGATTGATGAAAATATGTTGGGTTTGTGTTTTAGCTTTTAAATGGCTACCCAGTATGGTTGACTCACCACAGTTTCATCTTCGACTTTACAAAGACTCATCAGGGTCATTCCAGAGGATAGCTTCATGTATTGCTTGCTTGAAAGGGCAGGAAATATACAGCTCTGTAATTGTCGACAACCTTGGATTTATATCTTATTATTTTGTTGTTTTGATTTTCTTGTGTTTCACAGTGGACATGTTTGTAGTTTGAATATTTCAAGACATTTTCTTTAGGATTAGGGTTAGCTATTGTTTGAATTATGTAGACTAAAGAAAGTAGAATTATATTTGTCTAAGCATTGTAACAATGATTAAATGCCTTTGAGGGAAGAATTAATCTGGAATATTGTCAGTTAGTAATTGACATAGAAACTAGAAGATACTTGCTTGAATGTGAACACTACTGTATCTTTCTTTAAAACAGTTCAAACACAGGAACATATAGATTTCTTAGGTTTTGTTTAGAAGGTTTCTTTTTAATGTTGTCTGTGGAAGGTAACTTAGATGGACAACAAAGCACACTGGCCAAATTATGCATTTGCTTTCCTTTCAAAGTAGTATAGTATGAACATAAAATGCAATAAAAAATTGAACTGAATTCAAGTGAAAATCTTAATATTTTATTTTCTAATTCAATCAAACAGCAATGAAAAAATTATTTCAGATTAAAAATATCAATAATTATGCCCAATACACCTTTAACTAAAACGTTTTTTCTCACACTGAGCATGTTTTTTCCCAACCTGGGATGTTATCCTTAATGTAATTATACAGCTTTTATAGTTAATACGTAATAGTTAAGTGTAGTTGGCGTTTTGAACAGGTTAATGGCCATTTTCCACAGCTGTACCCACATATAAAAGTACTGAGTTAAGTCTAGGGTTTTCTAAACAGCATCTATATCTGACTGAAGTGCACATTTGCTAATACCTGTTGACACATGGGAGTTTTTACTTCAACCAGTGCTTTGGCATATTATTAAATGAGCAGTACAGATCACTACAATTACAACAAAAAACAATTCCTACAATTCCAACACAACAAACTACAAGAATACATATATTGTAAAAAAAGAAGTATAGATATAAAAATGTCTTTAAAAGGAGAGAGAAAGCCTTTTTTATTCA